TTTTCTCTCTTCTCTCTTTTTTCTACTTTTTAACATTTTCTTTTATTCTCCTTTTTTTTATCCTCTGTCGTTTTTCTTTCATATATATCGCTTCTTTTCTATATTTTCCTTCCTGGCCTTGAGGGAGTTATATAGTAAAACCAAATTCATTTACAGAAATGGCATCTTTCTTGGCAATATATGCCGGGAAAATTAGCTGAACATGTAATTTTCATTTAATTTTTTCATTATATATATATATATATATATGTGTGTGTGTGTGTGTGTGTGTGTGTGTGTGTGTGTGTGTGTGTGTATTATATGCACTATATCAACACTTTGAAAGATAGTCAGCCGAAATTCCTGGGTATGACGATAAACTACATCCGGCAACAAAGCCTCTGATCTGGAGATTGAAGATTTTGAGGAGCTTGGAACCACCTCTTAATTGGAGTTGTTCCCAGGTCTACCCTGACCCCGGGTGGTAGCACCTGTTAGGGTCACAGCTATGGGCAAATAGTGAAACCCCAAACAAAACACTATGAAAGTATAAGAGATACATTTTTATATAAAAAGATTTACCGACAATACATATATATAGTAAAATTTACACCAATGTATTTCATACTAGAATTATCAACAATGCATTTATCTGCAGTTGAAGGCATAGAATTGCGTCAAAATTTATTTAGTTAAAGCCATATAATTGTGTTCAAAATATTTAGATTTCTGCATTAAATAACCCATAGAGGTGTTGATATGCCGCTAAACAAAATCAATCAAGTAAACAACCAACATGAAAGAACTGTTGCTTGACATTAATTCGTATAATATCCTATAATTACTTTAAGAAATTAAACTGTATTCCAAAATACAACATAAAAACACATATCACCCCCCTCTAGTAATTATGTCCACGCAAACACCTATATGTATACAAGCTGAGTATGATCTACCATGTATTCATTTGTGAAAGCATATATCATTTTTTAATTAGTTCAAGGCCCCAAGAATACTAAATTTCAGCATCAAATGACCCATGACCAATTGATGTACCGTTAAACGAATCAAATCAAAACTGTCTTCCAATTTGTCCAGCTTTGGTTGCTTTTTAGTGAAAGCCTTTATTTTAAATTATCTTAAAAACAGCAATCCTTGCGGACTTTAAGCTGTCTTCTGCGGAGGTTAGGTCCCCCTCCCAAGATTAAAAGAACTTTTGGCCCAGCTTAGACAAGAGCAATGATAATTTTAAAGAAATAACTTTGAATTCCTTAATTCACTCTATGACACTACAAAACTTCACTCTGATTTAATTCCAATTCCGACCAAAAGATAGATTTGGAGCGAAATTTCAATTCATCCCCGAAAATTAAATTCTTCAAATCACAAACTCTGTGAAATTTCAATTGAGTTCTTCAGATCACAAAATCTGCTGAACTTCAAAACCTCGCGTCACAAAAACTCTCACTTTATCTCTGATTCATACACATTTTTAAGAAATAAAATTGTATTATTTTATACGCAATATAAATAAACTTAAAATCAAAGATTTTATAGTTATTTCAAAATTTTAATTTTTAACTGTTCCCTCCAGATCTGGACACAAATCCCAATTCTGGATGTCCAAGCACCAGATAAAGGTCTGAATTTCAATCCCAGAATCATCCTGATTCCAAAAGGGTATAACAGGTCTAGTGCAAGCGTGGTCTGAGTTAGAGGAGTTTTAGACACACGGACGTACAGACAGAATTCGCCGTTTATTTATATTAGATAGAAGATTTAAATTTTTAATTGTTCCCTCTTCATCCGGAGACAAATCCTAATGCTGGATGTTCAAGCACCAGATGAACGGCAATTAAATGTTCGAATGATTGAGGACAGGACAGAAAAGAGTAGGGGAAGTACTAGAAACTAATTATAGCAAGCCCCAACAAACGATCACGCTGTTTAGAGAGAGAAGGTTCGTGTCGTATTCAATACCTAACTGATCCTCTTCGTCTATTCATCAAGTGACTTCTGTTATATATAAATATGATTGTGGTTGCGGAGTCAACTACATAGGGATGACAACCCAACGACTAGATGCAAGAATAGGACAACACGTGCCAAGGAAGATCAGGAATCACACCTTGGTTTCGAATAAACTGATCACAAACCCCTATGGATCCTCGTTTTGTGAGTACCTTATAAATAACAGAAAGTGTGTGGCTGAATTTAGTGTTGACTGGTTTACTGCACCATGTCGGCGAGTTGACGACTCATCTCGCTCCCGAATTGCTCGTGCTCATGGATCGCGCATACGCGTGTGACAATGTGTCGCCCCCGTATTCCGGGGTGAAACGAATGGTGTTTCTGACGCTGCTGGCCACGGCCCGAATGGTGATTTGGACGACGTGACAGGAGGAAGTCTTGCGAGGCAACCGTCTTTCTCATCAGGATCTGATCCGATTCTTTGAGCATCAGCTCAAGATGAAGATTAAAACTGATAGAAAACGCTTGCATTCGACAGTCTTCAGCGAAAGGTGGGTGACCGAGGCGAGCTAGGTTCGTTTGAACGGGGCTAGCCTTGATTTTCTCTTTTAGGTCAAACCTATGTCACATCGGGGTGGTTTCCTGTGGAGCCCTCCCCTTGGTTAGGTTAGACAAGCTTTGTGTACCTAGTTAATGTGAGTAAATGTTGTTCCTAGCCTGTTTCTGGCAGCCTCTTTGGTTATGATCCAAGTCGAGATTCCCAATTCCTTGTTTTGGCCCCCTTTTGATCTCGACTGGGTCAGCTTTTTATTTCCCATGTTCGTCTATATTTTCACTTTTCCCATTCCCTTAGCAAGAGAGCTGCTTGATTTTGTCCAATGGGCAGAATGCATCGACCTCTCATTTTTGAGGGTTGGACGGGCCCTACTAACATTAATTATGTTCAGTTCACTTTAGTATCTATGTTTAGTTTGTTTTGGGGTTCATCTCCCTCCCCTCTCATATTTCAAGTATATATATTCATATGTAATATTCATATATTTTAAGTATTTATTATCATTAAATTTTGATGGCATGGGGCGCGTTTTGTAGGTCTCCTTTGAGATGATGCGGTATTATGGTGCATGAAGGATTGGACAAGTTTTTATGGTGAATGGGCAAATTGTAATGAGTGAATGGGTCGTAAATCAGATTAGCTAGATATAGGATAGTTAGTTAAGACCAGCCTCAGTCCCTCCCCTTTTTAGGCCTTGTGCCAAAATTATGTATTTTGCATAATAAATCTCGTTGACTTGTTATCTCAAGATTCGCAAACCTCTCTGTAAACAGTGTGATTGCTTGATGGGGCTTGTTATAATTAGTTTCTAGTACTCCCTACTCATATTTTTTGTCCTCTCATCAATCATTCGCAAATTTAAGAATTTATTGTATTTTACTGTTTTTACTCCCGATTAAAAACCTTGTAGTGTGGGAGCGAAACCGGTTGCTTTCCTCTTTCATTTTCTTTTTTGCTGTTTTAATTATGTCAAATATTTTTTCTTTCTTTCCTTCCTTTATTTCATTCATATAATCTTTCATTTTTTTTTTCTTTCATTTTTACACATTTTGTCGAGTCGGTGTATCCAAGACACTGCCAGCATTCGCTTTATAGTGGTATGACCCCACCAACAAAAAAGAAACTAACTATCGCCTAAAACCCAGTCAAATATAAGCCAGAAAGACTTAATTATACTTGAAGCAGGTAAATGTTTATAGACCATAATATAAATTTCAATATAGAAATGCATCCTTTCATTCGTTTCACCCCAAGGAAGGCGATAATGCCACTAAGGTGAAACGAGTAACTGAGAGTGAAAAAAGATGGCGATCGCTTTTAAAATTTTGAAGATATTAGGTACCAAGAAAACAAGAAGCCGGAAGAGAGTTCTATAAGCGAGAAAGAGGAGAAAAGAAATGATTAGAATCGAGAATACAATCGGAGTGAGCTAATTCAACAGTAAAACAATGAGACCTACTTGCCAATCTAGTACTGCGCTTAAATTCATATGGATGAGATAGCAAGTAGGACTGCTTCCGAGAAGAGATGCCATGAAAATATTGATGGAAAAAAAAAAACAGCGAAGCCATGACAGAGATAGGAGGTCGACATACCAGATTAGGATTGATAACATTACAGACACTTCTTAGGATTTTATCGGGACACTCGGATTATTATAATCTCGGATCAGGAACACCAGACGAGATTTGGCAGCAATATTGGCTATCACGGCACAATGAAATAACTTTCATAGCAGCAGATCTAACACAAATGAGGAAGAAAGGGATTGTCAGTGGTCAGGAATAAAGGCAAGCATTACTGGCAGAATAGGGCTATTATATGTAGAATAATTATTTTGTAGCAGTGTTTCACTATAGAAATGCATTGTAAATGAGGAAGAAAGGGATTGTCAGTGGTCAGGAATGAAGGCAAGCATTAATGGCAGAATAGGGCTGTTATATGTAGAATAATTATTTTGTAGCAGTGTTTCACTATAGAAATGCATTGTAAATGAAGAAGAAAGGGATTGTCAGTGGTCAGGAATGAAAGCAAGCATTGCTTACAGAATACGGCTATTATTTTGTATCAGTTTTTCGCTATAATAATGCATTGTAAATGAGAAAGGAATAGTCAGTCAGTGGTCAGTTGTAAAGAAAGCTTACAGTCGACGGTTATATATATATATATATATATATATATATATCCGACGCTTATAAAAAAAGCTCGAATACTTATTATTACGAAATTAGACTTACCCTCCTCCCCTCTTTATTCTAAATGGATCTCTTCTGTCTTGATTTTATTTAAGAAACAAAAATTAATTTTCGGCTCGTTTGTGATTATTATTACGATAAGTGGCAACTTGAAGAGCCTGTTCGGCATTATGCAGTCAGGACAAAGTCTTGGCAAATGGTATCCGACATGTTTCTGGGCCATGAAATTGAGGTCCGGGATCCGAAGATGTTTTAAAGTGAAACATCCTTTCAAGATTACTTTAGCCACATTGGAGACTATGCCTGACAGCTCTTCGTCAGACGTAGTAACTTTGTGGTACCAGGCACTAGCTCAAGATAAATTATTGATTTGTACTCTGGGTCCTGCACACCCACAACAGGTATTACGTCTTTATTTTTTCGCTCGCGATGTCGTAACCTTGTATACGTGTGGCCATGGTACGGTCAATTTGTTAGGCTACGCAAGCGTGAGGCGTACACCTTCAACGAGTTTGTCCCAGTTCTCGAGCAGCTCTGAACAAACTGTTCCTGTTAATTTAAGCGAAGAGGACGATAGTTCGAATGACGTCTGTTATCCAAACGAAGCTAGGTCTGCTGGAGTCGGCGATGAGAAGAGCTACCCTATTTTAAAAGGGGTCAAGTCCAAGAAAAAAACGGAGTCCACTGGCGGGGATGAATCGAAAAGTTCTACAAGTCTGTCAGCTGAATCTGATGAAGAAGAATCCTGTGAAGATATTCCGGAAAAATCCGAAACTGCAGTTGAACACGGACAAAAGCAGAAAGGGTCCAAGACTGTCGAAAAATACGAATCCGTAAAATTACGTTTCGCGGCTGAGGAACATAAAACTCGAAAGACATCTAAGAAAGTCAAATCCAAGACGAATCGAGGCCTTTCCGCAAAATGAACAAAAATTGGAGCAATTTAAAGCTATTTGCTATCAACTGAACAGGTGGTTTGCCAGGAAATCCAGAAATTAAATATTTCTGTTGCAGGAGAGTTAAAGAAATTGTTGAAAGAAAAACAATTTTGTAAATCGCTTAACTGCTGTACTTTTTGTTTTTTTATTTACGAATGGGTTTCGACTTCAAGATAGTCTTCCCTCTTCTACTGGTTATATTTTTTTAATTACTGGTAAATTCTATAAAACTTTAAAATAAATCGTTTTAAAAAATACTTTTTTTTTTCTCATTTTATTCTTTGGTTAAATTGTTATTAATACGGGTATTAATTTGGGAAGGTACGATTATTTTAGAGGATGTTTAGGTCGGACTTTGACAGCGGAACGAAAAACATGGCTGTAGCCGGTGTCATATCAGGAAATCGACTAACCCTCACATACACACACACTCCGACCTGTAGCCTATGTGTTTGGTTTCTTTGTTCCATATTATTATTATTTTTTTTTTTTTTTTTTTTATTTTAATCAGAGCTGTGGGATTAAATGAGTCTAAGTTTTACATATTTTTTACCCTGAAAATATCCTTATTTCCTAGTTAATTGTTTTTAGCAATATACTATTATTTAGACTATAATGCTAAAAACCTTGACACCTCCTTTTGTTTCTTTACCCAAACTTAATTTACTTCATGACAAAGCAATAGTCGTTGCATTTTGCGATGTTTTGTAACTGAACGTTGGGAATAACAATAAAATAAAATTAACAATTTTTCGTGGTTTTATTTATTCCATTACTTTAATTTGGTTTGTTTTACGGCATATCAACCTCTATGGGTTCATTTAATATCGACAAGATTTTTATTCCTGGTAATAATCTATTACAAAAAGTTATTTCTGGTATTAAAATTTATTCTCACACATTAATACTGTTCGCGCGTTAACTATTTACCCATAGCTGGGACCCTAACAGATTCTACCACCCCGGGTGGACCTGGGAACACCAGCAATTAAGAGGTGGTTCCACGCTCCTCAAAACCTCCTGATCAGAGGCCTTGCTGTCGGATGTAGTTTATCGTCTTACCAAGGACGGGCAGGAAGTTGTGGAGAGGCATTATTTATTCGGGATTAACGCTACATAAAAATTATCTGTAAATGCAGTAAAATTAGAACTTGGATAATAATTACATTGCATTTAAAGTGAAACATCCTGAATTAGGCACAACTCGTTGAGGGCGTACGCCTCACGCTTTGCATAGCCTAACAAATTGACCGTACCATAGCCACAAGTATACAAGTTTACGAGCGAAAAAATAAAGATGTAATGCCTGTTGCGGGTGTGCAGGACCCAGAGTACAAAGAAATAACTTATCTTGAGCTAGTGCCTGGTACCACAAAGTCACTACGTCTGTCGAAGTGCTGTCAGGCATAGTCTCCAATGTAGCTAAAGTAATCTTGTAAGGATCTTTCACTTTAAATAAAATGTAATTATTCCTGAAATTACAAACTTAAATGCAACAATGGGGACATACCCGCTCAAATGCATGTGCATCAATATGTTTATTCAAAAATCCACTCCTTTGTCTATGCACTTAATCCAGTGATGCATATGCACGTTGGGGGGGGGAGCGGTTATTGACATGAAGAGTGAAATCTGGGAGTCGGGTTCAAATTTTGACCTCGTCAGTTGCCTCCTCCCACCATTAATGTCTGTTTTTATTGAATATTTTGTTGGCGCTATTTTAAAGAAAATATACATAGAATAAATCAGCGGATTTTTTTTTGGGGGGGGGTTGTTTTACGGCATATCAACCTCTATGGGTTCATTTAATGTCGATAAGATTTTTTTTTGTGAGGATGCTGTAATGACAAAAATACGCAATTGTAGGCTTTATAGTATATAGTGTCCTTTTACAGTCTCATTAAATAGAAATAGCTCTCTCAAAGAGGAGGGTAACAAAACAAGGGGAGAGCACACTTGGTTATTCATAACAGATGCATCCCAAATATTCTTAAGGGACTCTTAATTTTCTCTCCAACAAATACACTGTCACATTCAAAATCTGAATATAATCTGCTTTACACACAACTAATTAGAATGATTTTCTTATGACTAATTTTCTGTTGAGTATATATAGTGATTTTCCAAGCGTAGCTTAGATGTGGTACAAGGCCGAAACTATGGGGCACCCAGTGAGGATCGAACTCACAACTCAGTCGTAATTGTTTTAGCGAGACAAGCTTGCTAACCATTACACCACCTCGAAGCGCCCCTGTTGAGTATATATATATACTAGCAGTAGAGACCGGCGAGCCCGGGGATGTAACAGTAAGAGATAGATCAAGTATCGACCATCGTAAAGACTGAAAAATAAAATTGACAAAGATTATTGTTTAAGGTTGACGGACACGCATGTCTTAATTAGTTTTTTTTTTGTATTTTTGTTTTTTAAGAATTGGTCAAACCCAAACTCAAACAAAAGCATTGTTTTCAATCGTTAAAAGTTTTGTTGAAATCGGTTGAAAAATGTAGTAAATTCGATCCCATGTATAAACGAACACACACATAAACAACCTGGGTTTTATAATAAGTATAATTCGATATGAGTTGTCCCCCTTTCATTCTGGCGAAAGAATCGTGTTTTCAAATTGATTTGGTGCAAAAACAATTCTGTTTTTCCAATTTTGGGCGCTGTCAGAACCACCGCAAGGTAATTTTACGTAGCCCTGTGAAGTTTTGTTGAAATCGGTTGAAAAATATAGGAAATCCTATTTAATATATAAACGAACACACACACAATCTGGGTTTTATAATAAGTATGATATATATATATATATATATATATATATATATATATATATATATATATATATATATATATAAAAGTGAACATAGAAGACTTCTATGTTCACTTTTATATTTACACACGCTCTATCTCTGATATTGAGCACTTTTTATCTCATAAATATAACACATCTTAAGAATATATTTCTTCATATATACATAGAAGTGTGTGTGTATATATATATATATATATATATATATATATATATATATATATATATATTTTCTCCAGCAAGACATTCATTTCTGTAGTTTACTGCTACCAGCAAGCAGAAATATTTCTCCTCCTGATGATGGCCATTTTTTTGGCAGAAACTAGTCGAGGAATCTAAATGAAATAATAATAATAATAATAATAAAAACGAAAGAATATTAATCTACAACCCAGTGTGTCTGAAGATTTTAATTTTTTTATTTTTTTATTGTTCAATATATATATATATATATATATATATATATATATATAACTAAAAATCTCTACCCATGCCCAAAGGGTGGCTAATCACCATGCAAGATTAAGGCCTGTAAATGGAGGTTGGATGGAATCTTTCAAGTTTTTGGGTACCTTTTTGGTAGAGTACCCTGGACTTACAGGCAAACAGGCGAGTCGAGATTACATCTCAGTAGATCCTGAGCTTGGTGGTTTGTGTTAGTCGAGGATTGCCGAAAACTCTTTAGAATAGTTTCTGGTGTGCTGTGTGGGCGGCATTGATTCGGTTATTGAAATCTTTTTCAGCGGCTGCATTTGATGTTAGTACACTATCCAGGTATGGTATTTATAATAACGATACAACTATTTACTCAAACATAACTCCGACACGTCCGACAAACTACAACTGACAGCTGCTCTCGAAAATGACCTCCAATCAGTTCGCATTTCCTCGCTTTAATCATTTCAATTATATTGCATTATAGTGAACATTAATCTTTATATTTTAGCATTTGGTTTGCTTTACGAAAAAGGAGTAGTTGATAGCAGCTCGGGTTGAGGATTCGGAGAGCCGAGTTCGAATTCCAGTCGAATCCATTGCATTCACTTACGTGCTAATACCCTTGAGAAAGGCATGGATCCTTTCTTCTCCACCCCCCAGCTATACCGGGTTCTGTAGCCTTGGATGGCAACTGGTCTAACGCAGAAAGAAATGGCAACCTACTGCGGGAAAAAAATCCGCCTCGTCAGTCATATATCGAAAGATACATGATCGCCTAAGCGTGTATCACGCATGGCACATAACTGACTGAAATTCAATTACGAATTTGGCTCTCCGATTCCTCAATCCGAGCCGCTATCCATTACTTTGGAAAGGTATCAATCCTCTTTTTCTCTCCTCCCCCCCCCCAGCTATGGGTAAATAGCAAGATAGACCGGGTTCTATAGCCTTGGATGGCAACTGGTCTACCGCAGAAAGAAATGTCAGCCTACTGCGGAAAAAAATCTGCCTCGTCAGTCATGGATCGAAAGATACATGATCGCCTAAGCGTGTATCATGCGTGGCACATAACGGACTGACTGACTTGTTTTACGGTATATCTACCCATCTACCAGTTCCATGTAGGATACACGTTCGATTCCTGTCGGAGGACGCATATTTCCTATGAAGTTTCTCGGACATTCAGGCAGGTAAATGTTGTTAATACTGTTTATTATAAACAGAGCATTTACTTAAATATTTGTATCTATAAAAATAACGTATAAACAATATATATATATATTTAAGTAATTCATCGAGTCTGACAGAAACCTCAACAGAATGCAGTAAGCACTGGACGGCCGTTTCGTTCTATATTTGGGACTCATCAGCAGTGCGCATCCACTACCGAGAATTGAAACCCTGACAGTTAGGTTATAAAGCAAACATCATACCAACTGTTCCACTGGCCTCGGTGACGAAGCGATTGCAAATGAGACTCAATGTAGCGCCACTCACATATTCCGTGGTGGACCTCAACTGAGATTCTCTCTAACCATAGGACTGTGCCCCAGGAGCCACGACTACTCTGACCAAGCTGCTCAAACTTGAGTATTAGAAGCCGGCTCAAGCAATGATATTCACGTGATAGAAATTATTAGGAGGATTTAATAATCATATTTAATTAATTCATCATTAAATAATATAGGACGAAACGGCCGTCCAGTGTTTTCTGCATTCTGTTGAGGTTTCTTT